CGGTTCCTCTCTTTTTCTACCAGTTACCAAGCTGGTTGCCTTCTTACGGAAAAGATAATCATATTTTAGAGGTTTCCGAATCCTTGCAGAGCCACTCACTCCACTAGACTCGAGTCAGCCTCGCCTTGTGTTTCCTGGTTCCCACCCAGCAGAATTAGCTGCTGAAGGACCGTCTCAAAAGATTCCATCTAGTAAGCGCCTGGTAAGCTCAGTTGTTGATTCACGCATCCTTCATGGAAGTGTGTGCTGGGCGCCTTCTCCTTACAGTGTAGCGCATTCAGGAGCGGGAAGACGCCATTCCTGCCGGCCAGGAGTGCAGAGGCAAGTAGAAGAACAGATAAGCAGAATCCTTGTGGCCAGAGGTGTCTGGTTGAAATAGGGGATGCAGCGAAGCCATCCTCACTGGGGTCTTGAAAGCATGAGATGGATTTAGCCGGGGAGAAGGGAGCACTTGAAGGCTCCTCCTTCCAGAGCAGCTCGGTGCCAGGCCCCAGAGGACCGCATGACATCCAGAACCCGGGGTTGCCCTTGTCATTGACGACCCTGACGTTTGAGGGAGGGAGTGGCAAAAGGTTGGTGGCAGACTGAATGGCGGTCGGGAGCAACTTTTTTTCCCTACTGGCTGCGTGTAAGGCAAACGCCTTAACCGTGGTGCTGTTTCCCCAGGCCTGTTTTGTGTTTTCTACCAGAATTTTGTATTGTAGTAAAGTACTTTTTCTCAGTTATATCCCAGAAAGGGCCTTAAGGAAAGGCAATTTTTTTTTCTCTTACAGTTTTAGTCGGACTTGATGTTCTGTTTGACCAATATAATTTCAAGAAAATTGTAGTGCATTCAGCCAGGAATAAATTGCCAGAGAACCCCCCAACGGCACAGAGGCCGGAGGGCCGGGGAACTGAGAGTGGGAGCAGTTAGAGGTCCAGCTCTGGTCCCCAGTGGGGTACCCAGGGTCAGGGGCCCAATGGAGCGGAACTGGCTGCAAGAATGGCACCTGCAGACTCAGCAGAGCCACCTGCAAGCCCCGCCTCCCAGACGGTGCATGTTTAGGACTCAGCTGCCCAGTGAACCTGCCCAGAACGCCAGCATCCCAACTGAAGAACTCTGAGACTTTAGACCTTTAAGTCGAATTTTTTTGTTGTTGTTGTTGTTGCCAATTTGACTACCAGCAGCTGCTAGAGCATCACCCTCCTTACAGGGTTTGTTACTGTTGCTCCCCTTACATTTGAGCTCACAGCACCTGTTCAGCCCATAAACTTATGTCTCGCTGGGGGTGTGGATACCTTTGCTTGCCTTGTCTGTGCTGAGGCATGCAGTTACCAACAGGACTGCCCCTTACTGACCGGTGCCCTGGCCCCTTTCATTAAAGCCGCAGTCACTTTCACACAACCGTAGCTTCCAGTTCCCACCAAATCAAAAGGAGAGGACTATTCCCCTCTCCTTATATCTTCATCTTCTAATATTCCTATGTTCTGTTCAGAGTAGTGATCTTCTCCTTACACTTCACGGCTCTACTTACACTGCAATTAGTTTGGAACTCCTAAAGCTGATACAAATGAAGAGACGGGAAATGGTTGTGATAAGGTCATTTGGTGAAATGTAATACAATTTTAAGTGTAATGAAACTTTCATTTAGGATTCGAAGGTTTTATATTAATAATAAGGCTAAGGGGACAGGGAAATTCATAATGTTAATACTGGTAATATTAGGATGGTAAATTTAAGTTGAATTTCTTTTTTAAAAATTTTATTTTATTTTTATAAAGTTCACAATAATATATTACACTCAATATTCCAACGCCAGTCCTACCACCATTATTTCCGATTTTCCCAACCCCCACCCAAGCTTGCCCCAATAGCTGGCCCTAAATTATTTTGTATTGCTTATTATGAATAGCACTGTAGCACTGTCCTCCCGTTGTTCATCGATTTGCTCGAGCAGGCCCAGTAATGTCTCCATCGTGAGACTTGTTATTACTGTGTTTGGCATATCAAATACGTCACGGGGAGCTTGCCAGGCTTTGCCGTGCGGGCGAGATACTCTCAATAGCTTGCCGGGCTCTCCGAGAGGGGCGGAGGAATGGACCCTGAGCTGACCGGGTCGACGGCCATGTGCAAGGCAAACGCCCTACCCACTGGACAGTGCTTATTGTGAATACTTTGCTAAAAATGATCAAAAGAGATTCCCTTAAAAGAAAGTGTGTGCAGATTGTTGTATCTGACCGTGGAGCAATCAAGCCCTTGTATAAGAGATCACTAACGTCTTGTTGTTACAGGTTAAGCCTTGTGCGTTAATATTTTCTTAATCGAGATTGGTTGCCTTCTACTTTATATCCCACCCAATATGCTGTGCTACTCCTGGTACATCAGTGATGGAGAGCATGAGATATCCAGGAATGCCGCCACGCACTCCAGGAGTTGTAAAATTTTGAATGGGTGATACAACTGGGGTTAAATTTTAACTGGGTGATGACCTGGGGGGTCCAGAAACATCTCTGCAGCTTGTTGATCTCTTTCAAGATTTACTTACGAGTCTCTGGAGCCGGAGGTTAATGAGCTTACATGGTGCCAGAGGCAGTTCTTGGGCGTGACTGCCAGCCAGTCTCTCCGAAGAACAAGGGGATGGGAGTAGGTCGCCCATCCCAACTCCATGAGACCCTGGAGATTTGGGTCACCAAACCCTCATACCTGAGTTTTTCCAGCAGATTCATTCCTGGATGAGACTCATCCTGAGTCTGTGGAGTCCGACCTTGAGCATGGCAGTGACTGGGTTATGGAGGTTGTCAACTGCCAGGGTTTTGTGTGGGCAGGTGGTGGGCTCACCCCCCCACTCCCCACCCTGGGGTGCCCCAGATGAGACTCGGCCTAGCACACGGCCTGGAGGCATCTCTCAGTATAGAATAAATTTCTAAGTTTTTCAGTGTACGCAACTTTTTGCAGTGAGCTTGCAATGGACTCCCGGGGAAAAGTATTATTTAAAATTGCAATGTGACTTTATATTGCTGTTGTTGGGAACAACGAATGTGGGACATTTTGTGTACGGGTGTTCGCATAAACCACTGTTTGAAGTGATTTCGGGATATAGTTTTTCAAAAAACTTAGATTTTCATTTTACCCAGTTAAATCAAGTTATTAAGTGAAAATAATTTTGCTCACCTTTTAGACACTAAAATTCTTAGTACGAGTTTGCCTTTCAGACTATTCTAAGTTTTTTAAAGTTCTTTTATGTTTTGGTGTTGTGGGGAGTCGGGTGGGGATTATAGCTTTGGTCCACCCTGGGCAGTGCTGAGGGGCTTCTCTTAGCTCTCCTTAGGGGTGACCTCTGTCACTTAGGGACCATATGCTGTGCCAAGGATCAAACTGGGGGTGCAGGTGAAATGGCCACATGCATGGCAAGAACTCCTGTAGTCTCTCTCCAACCCTTTTAGGTCATTTTTTAAAAAATCACGAGAAAGTTGATTTTTAAGTTGTTGTTATTTTATGATGGGCCTGGAACCAAGGGTCTCATATATTCCATCACGGGCTCTAGCACTCAGCTTCATCTGAAGTATTTAAAAAATATTACAAGATGCCATGGGCCTGGAGTGATAGCACAGTGGCTAGGGCGTTTGCCTTGCACGCAGCCACCCGGGTTCGATTCCCAGCATCCCATATGGTCCCCTGAGCACCGCCAGGACTAATTCCTGAGTGCAGAGCCAGAAGTAACCCTTATGCATCGCCGGGTGTGACCCAAAAAGCCACACACACACACACACACATACACACACACACACATACACACACACATAAAAAAATATTACAAGATGCAAGCTCAAGCCCGGTAATTGAATGTGTCCCAGCTCCAGCTGCCAAGCTACAAAGTGCATGGTGTCTTTTCAAGAAAAGGACGGGTTCTCTCCCTCTCCTCTCCTCTCCTCACCATTCCCCTCCCCTCTCCTCCTCTCCCCACACGCAGCAATGCTCAGGGATCATTCCTGGTGGAGATCTGGGGATCAGGTCCATGTGGGGTGCGGCAAACAGAACCAGGGCAGCTGTGTGCAGGAGCTGGACCTGACCGGAAGAGAGCACAGAGATTCAAGCATGTGCCTTGCATCCTGCTGACCTGGTTGGATTCAAGTCCCCCAAGCATCCCTATGTGTGACCCAAACCCTCCCCCCTGTCAGAATTGCTATTGTAATTCTTGTCCCAGGGCCATAAACGGGTACAGAGATTTTTTTGTGAGCAATTATAAAAACTCCTACCCAAAGGCTTTTCTAGTGAATGCTTAATTTTTTTAATAGAGACAAACTTAAAAGGATAAAGAAATGGAATTCGTGTTCTAGACAAAGAAAGTATAAAATTGAAACTGCATTAGTAGGGGCTGGAACGATAGCACAGCGGGTAGGGCGTTTGCCTTGCATGTGGCTGACCCAGGTTCGATTCCCAGCATCCCATATGGTCCCCTGAGCACTGCCAGGAGTAATTCCTGAGTGAAAAGCCAGGAGTGACCCCTGTGCATCGCCGGATGTGACCCAAAAAGGAAAAAAAAAAAACTTCACTTAGTAAAATCAGTTTTAAATAAATATTTGAGGTTAGGTTTGTGTACAGTGGTGGTGTTCATGGCGCACACACACACACACACACATACGTGCATGTGTGCCTATTCAAACACGTGTGCCTATCCAGATATACATGCACATGTGTGTCCTGCCAAAGCTACTTTTGTGCATGTGGTCAGCATAGTATAATCGCTGGCTTCTCAGAGAGGGGCTGCCCAGCCCAGGGCTTTTTCCATAACTGTATGTGGAAGTTCCCAGAACGGTGGCCGCACTGAAGGTTTCTGCACATGCAGCCCCCAAAAGGGGACTCAGAATCCAACACACAATGACTCGAGGGTGTTGTCATGCAGGCTGCACTGTGCTTCTCGGGGGAGACGGGGCACACAGAAGCAAGCCTGGGAGGCTGGTCGGGTGCACGGCCCGGCACTGTTGTCGACCATGTCTCCTGCTTCTCTCCTGCTGTGCAGTGCGTGGACCTGAGCTGCAATGAGCTCAGCGAGGTCACTTTGCCCGAGAACCTGCCTCCCAAGCTACAGGAGCTGGACCTGACCGGGAACCCCCGCCTGGCCCTCGAGCACAAGGCCCTGGAGCTGCTGAAGTGAGTATCTGGGGATGCCATGGAGGGGGGGTGGGGGGGACTGACCGCCTCGGTGGTGCCGGACGAACCCTGAGCCTTCCTCCACTCACCAGCCCGGTCACCATGACAGATTCCAAAGGCAGCGAGCCGAGGGGCTAGAGTTCACCTCCACGAAGAGCAAATCTATTTTAAACGGTTTATGCTCATATGTCCTTTCAGAGTATTTTTGGTTTTGTGTTTGTGTTCTGGGGGCCACACCTGGCAGTACTCCAGGGGTCGTTCTTGGCTCTCCCTTGGGAATCACTTCAGCACCAACATGATTGGTGGCCGTGAGACCAGGCCCGACATGGCCTGGTTTGTGGTCCTGAAGGTCAGCTCTTCCTGTCAGTCTGTCCTGGTCTGCTGTCAGGTGCCGTCAGGGGCTCGGCCTGGCCGTCCGAGAGCTGGTCAGTGCCCAGGATGTCGTTGGCTCCCTCTCCCCACGCTCATGGCTCTTGGCCTTTGTCGCCATGGGCAGGGAGACAGGATTGGGGGGGGGGGGGGACCTACAGGGATGCCTTTCCCTAAGAAGTAGGTTGGGGAATGGGGTAGCTTCTCAGAGACTGTTCTGGAGGAGGCATCCAAGGCCCTGGGATGCAGCAGACCCAGCTCTGACCACTGGCCCCACGGGGCCCCCTGAGCACCGGGCTGGGAGTGATCCTTCAGCCTTCCCAGAATGAAAACAAGAGTTAAAAGGTTTCTAGGAACGGAATTCCCAGTTTTCTCCCTAATTCAGAAACAGCGTAGACATAGTGGTCGATTTCAGCTACACTTCCAGAACACCCTGGCGTGGCTTGCCAGTTTACCCGGAGCTGTGTGGTCCTGACCTGGTTGCAGAGCAAACAATGGTGGACTGTTTTCTCTGTGTCCCTCTTGCTGGGAGGATAGGACATTTGGAACCCTGCTGGGACATGAAGCCTTGATTTTGTTTTGGATTTTCTATCGGCACCATCGATGAGATTTTTTTTAGCTTTTTTTTTTCTGCCTTTTTTTTGGGTGGGGGTCACACCTGGCTATGCACAGGGGTTACTCCTGGCTCTGCACTCACCAGTTACCCCTGGCGGTGCTCAAGGGACCATATGGGATGCTGGGAATCGAACCCGGGTAGGCCACGTGCAAGGCAAACGTCCTTCCCGCTGTGCTATCTCTCCAGCCCCTTTTTTAGCTTTTTAGGAACAAGGGGAACGTGAATAATTGCTGGAAACCGGGCGTGGAAACTTTTATTTGACCAAATTGTTGGGGTTTTTTGTTTGTTTGTTTTTTATTTTCGTTTTTGTTTTCAAAGAAATCGCCACCAGCTAGGTGTAGAATCAAAGTGAATGCTATTAACTAATTAATCCGTTCTTTTGAGTTGAATGATTCTTTGAAAGGGTACCAGGATTTGTCTCGTTTTGGAGTTAACCGAATGCCAACAAACACATCCTTGTGGTTGTGGCAGAGTTTTAGGCAGGGAGATGAGGAAGCAGCTTTTTCTCCTGTGGGAGGAACCGAGAGGAAAGTGAGTTGAGCACCCGAATCAGCAGGAGTCCTGTCACTGTGGAGGGGGGAATTTCTGAACCACTTCCTGTTGGGGGCGGGGGGGCGCCTGGCTGCTTCTGGTGGGCCCTGTTTTCCTTTAAGAAGACTCACTGGGGAGTTGACCCTTCTACTGTTTCTGGTTTGGGTCCCGGGAGAAGCGGGGGAAATCAGTTGATGGCATATGGGTACCCAGGTGACATAAGAACGTGTCAGGCTTGCAGATGTCATAGCGACTTAATGAGCCCTCACCTGCACAGTGGCTGGATGGCACATCAGCCAGGAACACGCCCTCAGGATAGTGTGTTCGGTGCTGGCAGGGGACGGGCAGCTCACAGGCTGACTGTGGCCCGGCTCCGTTCTTCCCTCCCCAGCCCCGAGCGCTGGCTTTTCCTGCCCCGACAGAGCCCAGAGTGTGTGGGGAGGCCCCCGGCACACACCTCTCCATGTCCAGGCACCCGTCCTCACGCCGCATTTGCCCCCCAGTTTCCGTCCTGACCTGCAGTAGCTGTTGATGTCGCATCCGTGAAGCCCCGTGGAAAGCACTTGGCCTCGCCGCCAGGCCGGTGCTCTCGTTTCTCCCAGAAAGCCGCAATTTACACCTTCGATTCCAATGACTCCCGGCTCCTCTGCTTCTCTCCGCAGCAACATTCGCTGCTTCAAGATCGACCAGCCGTCCGTGGGGGATGCGTCCGGAGCCCCCGCCGTGTGGAGTCATGGCTACACCGAGGCTTCGGGGGTGAAGAACAAGTAAGTGGAGGCAGCTCCCCATGGGAGGGGGGGGCCGCCCACCACCTCCCCCCCTTCTCCCCGGTACCTCCTTCCCTCCCAGCACATCACCCAGGCGAGTGTCCCCACCGTGAGGCCACCCCCTGATTTACATGTGAACCCTAAGCCCAGGCCACGCGTGGCATCTCCGTCTCTCCCTGTTGCTAGGATACGGGGTAACTGACACACTCTGTGTGAGGCTCCAGTGTTTGCTCAGGGCCTAGGGATCGAAATGCATCTGACAAGCCCCTTTATTGTCTTCTGCGGCCCCCGTTGGCCGAGCCAAGCACGGATAGTACGAGAAGAGCGGAGGCCGCGGTTGTTGGGTTTGGCGATCGCTTACGTTTCTTCCTGACCAGTCCGTGTTTCTCTGCGACGCTCGGCCCTCCCGGGACGTCAGCTCCTCGCCAGCCCATCCCCGTCTTCCTTTCTTGGCTTCCCCGTTCTCGCCTTTCCTGTCCTAAATGCACAGGTTGATTTTTTTTTTCCCCCGAGAATCGAATCAAACCCATTTGGGTCGGCTTGCGATCGATGCAGAGACATTAATGATTATTATTAGAAGAACAGCTGATCTGATAAATTAGCAGAGTTCTAATTTAATTAGCCAAGGTGTACAAATTCCAAGAACCGACTGTGGGGGTAGCAAAGAAAGTGGCAGATGATCCGAGAATAGCTGACATTAATATTCAGCCCTGGTGCGCGCTGGAATTAATTGAGTGAGGAACTTCAGAAAAGGAGGAAAAAAAAAAACCACAAAAACCTAGACCCATTAAATGAGCCTCTGGTGACTTCCTTGTTTACCCGCCCCTTGGAGGCATCGACTCGATGAAGACCCTGGAGCATCAGAGTCGGCCCGGGGTGTGCCCGGTGGATTTCTTTTCTCTGGAGCGGAGAAATAGGATCCGCCCACACTTTGGAGCCGGTGCTGTGATCTTTCGCCTCTATCTCGGGCGCAGCCTTGGGTGTCGTGTTTGTTGTCTGAGTAGCGAGTCCTGTTCCTGCGCCTCTTGTGGGTTTGCCCGATAAGGGCAGAGTCGCTTTCTGTGTCTGCAGTGCACATATCGCCTGGCTTAGGCGTGCTCTGCTCCGTCTGTCACTCTCATGGGGTGAAGGGGGAAGAATTCAGTACCTTTGTAAGGGCATCAAAGTCTCTTCAGGGAGAATCTCTCCCTTGTTTAGATTAAAAGGACTTGATCGTTCTCAGAATCATCAGTGTGGCAAGCTGTTTTCTAAAGGCAGAGCAACAGACAGGAAATCCAGGATTGGTTTTCAAACAGGTCTGGATGTGGAAATTTTTTATCTTCACACACACACACACACACACACACACACACACACACACACACTTATGAAGCTGGTGGCCAATTAGATCTGTGTTCCTGTACATACTTACCCTCACCATATTTTTAACTTTTTTGTTGTTGTTATATTGAAATAAATTGTAGATGGTCAGCATCTGACTCATAAATGCCCCTGCAGACCCCCTCTGTGGATAAGAAAGTGGCCCAAGCCCAGCCACCCTGACCCTGACGCTGACCCCGGCCGTCCCTTCTCATCTCCCTGGGCTTTGGTTCTACCCAAAGCGGGAAGTGTGTTGCTTTGTAGAAAAGGTGTAACATAGACCAAGAGCGTCCGCTGCTTCCCATCTCCAAGGAAGGACAGAACCGAAGTTGTCCCTGCCCCCAGGTGTCCGGGATCTCTTCTGTTCTCCTTCCATCTCCTTCCCCTTGGGAAGATGTCTTGCCTTCCTCTTGGGCCGTTACATGGACTGAGGGAGCCCAGGTGACAGCGCTGTGGGACGGGCTAGGAGACCAGGGAGCTGCAAGACAGGACAGACGCCTCTCTCCGCCCACTCTCACTGTTATCATCAGCTAGAGAAGGGAGAGAAAAAAGACGCTTTTGTTTCGTTTATTTCAATGGCATCACTCTTAGTTTTGTCACCTGTTGCCATAGCACTGTATAGCACTGTCCTCCCATTATTCATTTGATTTGTTTGAGCGGGCACCAGTAACATCTCCATTGTGAGACTTGTTAGTTTTTGGCATATCAAATATGCCACGGTTAGCTTGCCACGCTTTGCAGTGCAGGCGTGATGCTCTTGGTAGCTTACTGGGCTCTTGGAGAGGGGTGGAGGAATCAGCCTGGGGTCGCCCCAGGTGAGCCACGTGCAAGGCAAGTTCCCCACATGCTGTTCTATTGCTCCAGCCCAACACAGCGGTGGGGCGTTTGCCTTGCATGTGGCCGACCTGGCCAACATGAGTTTGATTCCTCCGCCCCTCTCGGACAGCCTGGCAAGCTACCTAGAGTATCCCAGCTACACAGCAAAGCCTGGCAAGCTCCCCGTGATGTATTCGATATGCCAAACACAGTAACAACAAGCCTCACAGTGGACACGTTACTGGGCCCACTCGAGCAAATCGATGAACAATGGAAAGACAGTGTTTCACCTCTTGCCATAGAATTCTTAATCAACCAAGGCAGGAATTTCGGGGTGCAGAAATGTGTCAGGCTTTGAGTCGGAGGGCTCTTCTTTCCCCCCGCCCCCCCTCTGCCCTTACCCAGTGGTTTCACCTCTTCTTAATTGAACTCATTGGTGAAGCACTGGGCACCATCTCCAGAGGGTTCCGGTATGGGCCCTGGAGTTACACAGGCCAAAAAACAGCAGGTATTCAGCAAGCCTGCCTGTTTCTGGCTATTCTTATTATCAGTGACAGTGTGTTGCTGTTATTATTGATTCCGTAAGAGTTGAGATGTTACCCATCTCTGTTTTCTCTTTCTGTGGTGCTGGGGATGGAGCCCTGAACCTCACGCCTACAGGGGCCAGATTCTCTTCTCAGCCTTGAATCTCTGGTATCAGTGCATACCAGGTGCCTCAGATTTTTTTCTTTTGATCTATCTGTAGCGGTAGGGTGTTTGCCTTGCACGCAGCCAACATGGCCGACCCGAGTTCGATTCCTCCGCCCCTCTCGGAGAGCCCGGCAAGCTACCGAGAGTATTTTGCCTGCACGGCAGAGCCTGGCAAGCTCCCCATGACATATTCGATATGCCAAAACACAGTAACAACAAGTCTCACGATGGAGACGTTACTGGGCCTGCTCAAGCAAATCGATAACAATGGGGGGACCATGACCGTGACCATGATCTATCTGTAGTTCAGAGGTTTCTACTCAGTAAAATTTCGCTTTTAGCCCCCCAGCTTTATGGATCTTGACAGAAGAACCACTTGTGGAACCACTGCCACAGTCAAGTACAGTTCTGTTCAGGCTCTGTGACCACAGCTTTATCTTTTTATCGGTACATGGGTATTTAGGTTGTATGCAGTCATAGCTGCTGGCAGTAATGCCGCAGTAAACATGGCGGTGTGTATTTCCCTTGGAGCTGATGATTCCCTACCTCTTCCTTGCTTCCTTCCTCCCTTCCTTTTTTGTTTGTTGGGGGTCCGCGCTTGGCAGTGCTTAGGGTGCGATCCTGGCTGTGTGCTCCCAGATTACTCTTGGGGGGTCTCAGTGTTATTCTGCTCTGCTGAGTGTCCAACCCAGATCGTCTGCGTGCGAGGTGAATACCCTGCCTCACTGTCCTCTCACTCTGGCCCATTTTTATTTTACGTAGACAATTACCTAGATGTGGGATTACTAGATCATTCGGAATTTCTGTGTTTAATTTTTGACAAATTTCCGTGATTTTTTTTTTTAGGATAACTTCACCAGTTTACATTCTCATCAGTAGTGCATGGAGGGGTTCACTTTTTCTTCATGTCTCCAATACTTATTTCTTATTTTTGATACTCTCCAGCCTCAGAGGTGTGCAGCGGCATCTCCGTGTTTTGATCGGCATTTCCCTAATGATAATACAGGATAAACATCTTTCCATGTGCCTATCCGCCATCTGTATGTCCTCTTTGCAAAAATCTTCCAACCCCTTTTTTTAATTGCTTGGTAACTCAATCTGTTTTTTTTGTTCCATTAGTTTAGCCTTTTTTAGCCTAGCTTTGAAATTATTCAGATTGTTTCAAGCCTTCAGCAAATACCAGTAAAAATTGTTACAAAAAGTGACATATAAATTGTGTGGATGTAGGTTCTTATGGGCAAATCCCTGAGAGTGGGATTGGTAAGCCTTATGCCAAATAGAGTAGATTTTAGAAGATAGTACCAAAGTCTTACCTACAGTGCACAAAGGGATTCGTACAGACATCCACTATCAATTTAAGAAAATTCCCCTCTCTGTCAAGCTTGCTAAGAGTTTATAATAGACACCGGCTACTGTGGGAGGCATTTTCAGCATGAACCAAGGCTTTTTTACCTGTAGGTCTATTGATAGTAGGAGTGTGTGTGTTTGTGTGTGTGTGTGTGTGTGTGTGTGTGTTTCTAACTTTACAGCATACCTTTAGTTCACTGCAGTTTACTTCCAATCAAATCATTTCGCACATATTTTGAGAACTGTATAATGGACACTTCTTCCCTTTCCTCCCCCAGTCCTGGAGTTATTTTTGTCATGCTTTACTTCTTTGCTCGATAAACACACCACAATCCATTGTTAGAATTTTTTCTTTTGGTTTTGGGGCTTCACCCAGCAGTGCTCAGGGCTTTCTCCTGACTGTGCTCAGGGATCATTCCTGGCGGTGCTCTGAGGACCGTGTGCAGTGCCGGGGATGGAACCCAAGTTGACCCCATACGGCACAAACATCTTGCAGTGCGCTGTCTCTCCCGCTCTGTAATTTTTACTTTGAACCATCGTTTTCTCAATTGCGTCTCTCACCTTCGGTGCGATAGACATTTTGCACTAGACGGAAAAGACACGAGAGATCCGAGACGCTCGGTGTTGATGGCTGCTTGTCAGTGGCCATGCCTTCCTGGCCTTTTGGACACTCATCAGTTGCTGTCCCTTTTGACACCTTCACTCCCTCATCGTGACAGATGCTTCCTGGGGGCCAGTTGCCTTCCCAGACACCCATTTACTCCCCTACTCCACGTCTCAGGTTACTCTTTTCCCCTGCATGGGGCTGCACCCCACCACCCTGCAGGAAACCCTCGGGGCTGTTCCCGGCCTCGCTCTGCCAGCCGGTGTTCTGCGATGGTGCTGGGATGCCTCAGAGCCAGGGGTTCGCAGCGCAGGTGCAGCCAAGCAGGTCTCCGTGCTCTGTGGCTCTTCCGTGGGCCCAGGTGGCCGTCTGGCCCTATTTCCTTCTACCCCAGGTATTTCCCTTTTCATTTCTTCAAGTGCCCATTTTCTGGGTGCTGAGTCTTTTCGTTCATGCATCTGGAGATGCCTGCACTGGACGCTGCGTCCCGGATGTAGCGATCCAAGTTGATGGACTTCTTCTCTTGGTACCTGAAAGACGTCTCTGGCACTGTGCTGACGAGCCTTTGGTGCCTCTGTCCCTCTGTGGGCTGTGTTGTCCCGTGCCCTCCTCTGCCTTTATTCTGTTTAATTGGGAGGGGCTTCTTTACCCCATAATTGAGCTTCATGTGTGCGTGCGTGCGTGTGTGTGTGTGTGTGTGTGTGTGTGATGTTTATGGTTTTCATCAGAATTGAAATATTTTCAACCATAAATCTCTAACATTTCTCTTTCGGAGGAAGGGTGGTGTCTCCGGACGGGGGCACTAACTCAGAGGGATGGATGGAGCACGTCCAGTTTCTGCACTGCCTGGCCCCCGTGTACTGCCCAGTGGAGCCCTCGTGGCCGTTTCATTGCCTCTCTTGGCCCAAGCGTTGCGCTGTCCTGCCCACACCCCTAGGCCAAGTACTGTGAGCAGTAGTGCAGGCCTGGCCAGAAGACTCAGGGCTAAGGGGCTTGCCTTGCTTGCAGCCCGTCCCAGTTGGGTCCATATACACTGCCTGGGGTTCCCTGGGACCTCTAGATGTGACCTCTGTGACCTCTGAGCACAGTGCCAGGAACATCTCCTGAGCACCTCCAGCTGTGGCCCAAGCCCTTCCTTCAGTAATAACCATAATGATGCAGAAAAATGCCAAGTATTGCCAGGAATGGCCCCCGACTTCCTGCGCACCTCCGGGGGCCGGGGACACCTCCGTCCAGAAGCAGACGTGTTCCCGTCTGTCCTTTGAAGATCCTGCTCCTCCTCGAGTATCGGCCTGTTGGAACTTCCCCCGCCACCTCTGGGCGCCCGGCTCCCTCCGCCCCCTCACGTCTCTTTCTTCTGGGTTTTATTTTCTGGCACGCGCTTCAGTTGCTATGAAACAGTTTCCTTCTTACCGCGCCTCGCGGGTGGCTGCAGGCCTCCAGATCTCGCTCCCGGGGCATCTCTCCTTCCCAGCGTCCTCCCGTGAACCCCACCTGCCTGCGTCCCGCCAGGGTCTCCCCTCTCCTGCCCACCCCACCCCCCAGATGCTCCTGCACGTCCTGCTGCCTGTTGTCTGGGTACAGTCGGTTCCTTCAGTCCCGCTGTTAGGAACGCTCTGTGTGTGTAGCTGCTCTCCGTGGATGTACTCTGTGTGCTCCAGTGCTTTCATTGTCATTCTGTATTTGCCAATGCAGAGGCTCGTCACAGTTACACTGTGAATGAATGTGGATAGGGGAGCCTTAGTCTTGGCCTGTCTCCCTTACTTAGCTTCCTTAATGGAGTACTATGTAGCTGTTAGAAAAGATGAAGTCATGAAATTTACATACAAGTGGTACTACATAAAAAGTATCATGTTAAGTGAAATGAGTCAGAAAGAAAGGGATAGACACAGAAAGATTGCATTTATCTGGGGAACGTAAAGTAACAAAATAGGAGACTTAACACCCAAGAGTGACTGAGATTAGTACCAGGAGGTTTGCTCCATGGCTTGGAGGCCAGCCGCACACGCTAGGGGAAAAGGCAGCTCGGATAGAGAAGGGAGCACCAGATAAAGGGTGTTGGGAGGATCCTCCCAGGATGGGAGAAGCATGCTGAAAGTAGACTCTAGACCGAACATGATTGCCACTCAATGCCTCTTTTGCAAACCACAGCACCCAAAAGGAGAGAGAGAACAAAAGGGAATGCCCTGCCACAGAGGCATGGTGGGATGGGGGGGGGATGGGGGGGGGGAAGAGATGCTAGGACCTGTGGTGGGGGAGGATGGGCACTGGTGGAGGGATGGGTACTCGATCATTGTATAACTGACACCCAAGCACCAAAATTTGTAAGTCTACAACTGTACCTCATGGTGTCTCACTAATAAAAATTTTAAAAAATAATAAAACAATAAAATAGTGAAAAGATAAGGGTGGGGGGAACCGGGTGTGAAGCGTGGGTGCGTGTGTGCGCCGTGTGTGTGTGTCCGAGTGCATGTATGTGAATGCGTGTATGTGCGTGTATGTGTGTTCGTGTGTATGTGTGTATGCATGTGTGTGTGTGTGCGCGCGTATGTGTGTGTTACTCTTCCCCCTGTGCTCACTGAAGTTGCTTGAGCCTAATCGGCGGGGTAAGGAGACATCCTTGCACCTCGCGCGTCCAGGGGGGCCCGGCCCAACCGGGCAGGGGCGCTGAGCCCCCTGCCCCCTTGCTTCGCAGGCTGTGTGTGGCAGCCCTGTCGGTGAACAACTTCTGCGACAACCGGGAGGCCCTGTACGGCGTGTTTGACGGCGACCGCAACGTGGAGGTGCCCTACCTGCTGCAGTGCACCATGAGCGACATCCTGGCCGAGGAGCTGCAGAAGACCAAGAACGAGGAGGAGTACATGGTCAACACCTTCATCGTCATGCAGAGGTGAGGCTGCGGCCCGTGTGCCCCCGCGTGGGGGCCCTTTCCAGACCCGGCTCCCAGGCTGGCCTGACTCCAGGTTTTCCCCAGACTGTCAGTAGCCCTCGCTGCCCCCTCACTCCAGATCGCAACGGGACTGGACCCTCTTCAGAGCCCCCCGGGTGCGTGAGGGTTTCCGGCCCCGTTTGTTTCCCTTTAAGAGAGATCCTTCTAGAGTATTTCTGAACTTGAGGCCTCCAGGGAGTTGGCGTGAGACCTTCTCCCCGTGTACTGACGCCCCCTAGTGGAATGCTCCCGACAGTGCCGCTCGCTGAACCCCCAGGTCCCCAAGCAAGGCTGGCAGACTTGGTGACAGGTTGTAATTCTGAGGGCTGAGCGCCGCCAGAGACCTCCTCGTCCTTTTGTCCCTCGTGTGGCCTTCCCGGTCGATCAGGTGTCGCCTTGCTCATTCCGTGTTGTCCCGGGTGCTGGGAAGCGGGGGGATGGGCCCAAGATTCTGATGACCTCGCCTCTTTCTCTGTGTCCACCCCGTTCGTCCCTGCCCCGGGGTGGAGGGAGTCCCCTTGCTGAGGCGTGCTGGTCAGCGCACTGTGGGCAGCTTGTAGGGGGGGCGATCCTGGCGGAGTCAAGCTGCTGGACACCGGTGGCTGCCGCTGCTGACGGAGCCGGGGACAACAGAACATCAGTGGGCCTCAACGGGGTCCCAGTCAGCGTTCTAGGTCCCCCAGGCTGGCAACGTCACCCGGTGACAGTAGCGTGGTGACTGCTCTCATTTTCCCGATGGGAGACCACAATGCAGGGAGGTGAAGGGCAGAGCGGTAGGAGCCAGTCAGCTGATCAGCAGAGTCCCACCATGTCAGACTCCAGGAGGGGTTCCGACTGCCAGAATCTCCGACACCTTATTCTCGAAGAAGCAGATAAGGCAGCCCGTCTGCGGGGAGATGGCAGCCGCTGCCCGGGCGCGCATAGCGCAGAGGACTGGACTAAAGACCAGGAATTCAGGCCTCTGAGACTCGTGGTCCTTTGCCCTGATGCCAGTCCTGGCCTGCTCAGCCCAGCCGACTCTGTGGCCTCTGAGAGGAAGGGGTTCACGCCTGCCCTGTCTCAGGGGCTCTAAAGGCGGCGTGTCCGGACCCAGGTCCTGGCTCCTCTCCCGGTTCTTTGACAGGACAGTCCCCTCCTGTGGCCCAGGCAGACTGTGGGGGGGGGGAGGTGCAGCTCCTCCCTGCTGACGGGCATCTCTGTGGGCCGCCGCCTGGCACTGTCCTTGGCAGGGCCTGTGAGGGAGATCATGGCCCTAGGTGGTTGCTCAGAACATTCCAGGGCTTTGTCTGTTCCCACGGTGGATTCATGATCACGAATGACAGGGGCATCGTAGGCACTTGGGGACTCGATTTCCAGTGCCCCTGCTGAGGGCAGAGTGGACAGAACGGTTCGACGGGTCCGGGTGTCCTTGCCCAGCAGGACAAGGACATGCCTGGCCCAGTACACCCATGTCAGACCTCTCACCAGCACACACCCTCCTGAAAAACAGAACCGAGCCCTCCTGAAACGGGTGTGTCGAGGTGTGGAGTGTCTCTGCGGCTGTCCTCTCCCAGGGCCCAGGGGTGGAGGGGGGGGGCAGGTAGGCAGGGAGAGAAGTGGCCGTTTGGGAGCATGTAGGGCGCAGCATGTGACCCTGGAGCCTCAGGCCAGGCCCAGGGACAGGGTCTGGCCCCTGGATTCCTCCACTCCAGGCCTGGTGCAGCCCACAGGTGCAGCCTTGTGTGCATGCGTGTGTGTGTGTGCGCGCGTGCGTGCGTGTGTGTGTGTAGCAGGCAGGTGACAGCTTCCCGTCCACCCTTCTCTCTGCGTCCCAGGAAACTCGGCACGGCCGGACAGAAGCTGGGCGGCGCTGCCGTCCTCTGCCACATTAAGCACGACCCCGTGGACCCAGGCGGGTCCTTCACCTTGACCTCCGCCAACGTGGGCAAGTGCCAGACGGTCCTGTGCCGCAACGGGAAGCCGCTGCCGCTATCCAGGTCCTACGTCATGAGCTGCGAGGAGGAGCTGAAGCGGATCAAGAGGCACAAGGCCATCATCACCGAGGTGGGTTGCGGCCGGAAGGCATTTCCTTCTGCTAGAGCGCCGGGCGCTCGGGCTGGCCTTCAGCCTCTCCCGGGTCCGAGCCCTTGCCTAGAAATGGCGTTTCCAGGTTGTCACAAACGAGCACCTCACGACGTGCTCAAAGACGGTCCAGTGGCCGGGCGTGGCCAAGGTCGGGCGTGAGGCTGCAGCACTGACCCGGCGGCCCTCGGCACCCACTGGAGCCCCAGGCACTGGTGTCTGCCGGCAGCTGCCCCCGGCTACTGCACGCGGCCCCACGCACCCCCTCGCACGGCTTCAGCTGGCTCATGCGTCCTGAAGAGTCAAGCGGGCCCTGCCCCGTCTCACACTACCACATACCAGGGCAGATGCAGCCACTGGCTGAGGAATAGGTCCTGGCATGAGGAGACGTCCCGCGGGCTTGCCTGTGTGTGGGAGGTGGAGTGGGGTCTGAGTTCTGATGTCCAGGCTCCAGGGAACAGTGCGGAAAGGCCAGTTACCGGTCAGCTTATCCGGCTGGGAGAGGACAGTGGGGACTCGGGCCCCGGACAGTGACAGGACAGAGCCCCCCCCACACACACACACCTGTTGTCGCCACGCTTGGCGGGCGTGCCGGGCTCCTTCCTCCTCTCCCTGCTGCCTCCTCTCTCTTCCTCCTCCTCCTCTCTCCTTCCTCTGCTTCCTGAGCTTCCTTTCTCTTCCATCTCCTTTCTCTCTTCCTCCTCTTTCTCTTTCTCTTCTGCTTCCTCCTCCTCTTTCTTCTCTCTCCCTCTCTTCTTCCACTCCTCTTCTTTCTCTCTTCCTTGTATCTTCCTCCTTCTCTTTCTCTTCTGCTTCCTCTTCCTCTATCTCTTCCTCATCTTTTCCTCTTCTCTTTCTTCCTCTTCTGCTTCCTCTTCCTTTCTTCCTCCATTTCCTCCTCCTCTCTCTCTTCCTCCTCCTTCTCCTCCTCCTCCATCGCTTCGTCCTCCTCTCCCCTCTCCTCCCCCACCCCCTCCAACCAGCTGGTCACCAGAACTTTCCCATCCTTCTCCCTTCTTGGCTTTGAATCTGAGCCGGGCCATCTCTGGAGCCCAGCCAGCCCGCCCTGGGGTGGACGCGCGGATTCTCCGTGCAGCTGGTCTGGAGGCGGCTTCCCCAGCCTGGCTAGGAGGTATCACGTTCCCACCCGGGGACTGTGTCCAGTCCACTTGACACGTGGTGCCCCTGGCTCCTGACATCCACTTGCCATGCCCCTCTCAGGTGGGGACCCTCTCTTCCTGGGGTGGCCCCCTGATGCCTCTTCATCCACCCCCCTCCCCCGCAGGACGGCAAGGTGAACGGCGTGACCGAGTCCACCCGCATCCTGGGCTACACCTTCCTGCACCCGAGCGTGGTACCGCGGCCCCACGTGCAGTCGGTGGCGCTGACCCCGCAGGACGAGTTCTTCATCCTGGGCAGCAAGGGCCTGTGGGACAGCCTGTCGGCCGAGGAGGCGGTGGCCGCTGTGCGCCACGTGCCCGACGCGCTGGCGGCCGCCAAGAAGCTGTGCACGCTGGCGCAGAGCTACGGCTGCCACGACAGCCTGAGCGCCGTGGTGGTACAGCTGAGCGTGCCCGAGGACAGCTTCTGCTGCTGCGAGCTGGGCCCCGGGGGCGCCGGGGGGCCGCCGCCCAGCCCGGGCCTCTTCCCACCAGCCGTGAGCATGGTCATCAAGGAGCGGCCGGCCGACGGGCTGGGCGTGCCGTCGTCCAGCAGCGGCATGGCCTCGGAGATGAGCAGCGAGCTGTCCACGTCGGAGATGAGCAGCGAGGTGGGCTCCACGGCCTCGGACGAGCCGCCGCCTGGCGCGCTGACCGACAGCGGCGTGGCCGGCCCCAGCGAGCCCCGCTGCACCCTGCACCCTGCGGCCGGCCCGGCCCACTCGTTCCAGCGCCAGCTGTCCAGCGCCACCTTCTCCAGCGCCTTCTCCGACAACGGCCTGGACAGCGACGACGAGGAGCCCATCGAGGGCGTGTTCAGCAACGGCAGCCGCGTGGAGGTGGAGGTGGACATCCACTGCGGCCGCGCCAAGGACAGGGACAAGGACCGGGACCGGCCGGCGGCGGCACAGGGCACCGCGCCGCTGCCCCCGCCGCTGCCACCGCCCTTGCCCCTGCCCGCACCCGCGTCCGCGCCCGCGCCCAGCGAGGCCGGCAGCGACGAGGGCAGCATCCCGGGCGCCCCGGAGGACGAGCCGGGGCCAGCCCGGAAGGCGCTGGACGGCGCGGCGGGCACCATCGGGCGGCGGCGGCCCAACGGCTCGGTGGCGCCCCAGGAGAGTAGCCACAACGTCATCGAGGTGGCGGCCGACGCGCCCCTGCGCCGGCCCGGCGGCTACTTCGCGGCGCCCGCGCAGCCCGACCCCGACGACCAGTTCATCATCCCGCCCGAGCTGGAGGAGGAGGTGAAGGAGATGATGAAGCAGCAGCAGCAACAGCAGCAACAGCAGCAACAGCATCAGCCGCCGCCGGGGCCTCCGCCCGCGCACGCGCCCCTGCCCGCGCCGGCCGACTGCTGCGACACGCCGCTCTGAGCGACACGCCGCTCTGAGCGCGCAGCATCAGGACCACTCCCCGCCGCCCGCCCCGCCCCCCACCTGACATCTGTTGTTAACTTCTCCCCCTAACATATCAGATGTGTAAAGACAAAGAACAAAAAAGGTTTAATATATTACAGAGAAACACTTAATGATAATGTAATATTTTTTTAAAAAAAAAAGAGAAAAGATGGCTTTTTTTTTTTTTTTTGCTGTTTGGAAGGCAGGGCCGGTTGCCAGTGCTCAATGATTTAATAATATTGTAATTCTGTATTATTATTTTTTTCTTTAGTGCGGGGAGGGGGGGAAGGCTTTTTTTTTCCCTTTTTTTTTTTTTTGTCTTGAAAATGATAGACATTTGTAGAATACGGAGACTAACTCCTAGGAGTTGCTTTACTCTGTCACGTGACTTAAGTCACTGGGATTCACTAATTTTCTCTGAGAGAACAGTTGATTGAGAAATTTCTATTGTAAATAGCTCAGTGTTGTATAGTGACGCTTCCGACGTTTTGTAGTTTTGACAAAAGGACAACAAGGCCAAAATAACGGACTCCTCCTCCTCCCTGGCGCCCTCCTCACCCCCCTGGGCCACTAACCCAAGAGGCTGAGCAGCTCGGAGCTTTCCTGTCGCCCCATCCCCACCCCAGGGGTCCCGCTGGGGAACCACAAGGCCCCTCCCCTGCCCGCCCTGCTGCCTCGGTCACCGCGACCGTCCAGGCCAGCGTGGCCGGTTCACACACGAGAGTTCTAAGAGAGCAGAGTACACAAATGAACATGTCGTAATTTTTGTTATAATAAATATAAAATTTACAAGTATCGGGGCCCTTCTGCGTCTGTGTCCGCGACCAGCGGTGTCCTGCGGCTCCCCGGCCTGGGGTGGGCAGACGGTGGAAGGCTGGGGTTTTCACGGAGTCCCGAAGCTGCCTGATCTTTCCTTTTTGGGGGGAAAATGCCCTTAGGTCATGTGCATGAGATCATGAGACTGACCCTTGGCCCGGCCACCCGTCACTGGTCTCTCTCTCTCTCTCTCTCTCTCTCTCTCTCTCTCTCTCTCTCTCTCTCTCTCTCTCTCTCTCTCTCTCTCTGTTGCTTGGCGCGGATCGTCAATGCCGTCTGTAGAATCCCAGAGCCTCTGTCCACGCATAGGGTGGGCACAGCCACGGGACATGCCCACTGCCTTTGGTGTGAGCCTCCAGCTTAGCAGGAGGAATTTGGGGGCTGGCAGGGAGGCTGGCTCTCGTGCCCAGTCAGACTGGGCCATCCCCTGAGCTGTGGCCCCCACCAAACAGGCCTGAGTGGAAGATACAGCGTTCTCTGTCTCCCCCTGGGACCCACGCACGCACACAGGCACACCCTGCCTTCCTCTCAGCTCCGCCCCCGTGGTGCCTACCTGGCTGAGTGACAGGCTGCTTCAACTGGCCGGGCACGCTCTCTTGGCCACCTCTGGGCCTCCTTTTCCTGCCAGGCCGCTCTCGTCTGAGTTGAGGGTCGAGAAGGTTGGGGACCACAGCATCCTGCCTGGCCTTCCCCTCCAGGCTGGGACAGCCGGAATGCAGAGCGTAGGCCCCTGGGAGTGGCCTGGAATGAGCTGTCCCCAGGACACCCCAGCAGCCTGTGGCCAGTCAGCTTCTTGGGATTGCTTTAGCGACAGCACCACCTGCTGGGAGGAAACGGTTTTGCACCTTTGAACCACGGTCACTGCTCACTGTCTGGGTCTGGGTCCCTTACCTCTCCCCCTCGCCTGTCCCCCCTTCCCCCACCCCAGCTTTGTTGCAGAAGTCTGCAGGCATTTATGGCCTCCAGGGACCCCTAGGACAGGGCCTGGAGGGGGCTCTCTAGCTTCCCGCAGCCTGGACTAGGCTCCCAGGGGTTTTTTTGTGAGGGGCTGGTCCTCCCTGGGGAATATGGGCAGAGTCCCAGTGTGGACTTGAGGAAGAAGCAGCCGCTCTCCCGGTGCCCGCCACCCAATCCTCCATTCCCCAGGGCGAGCGAAACAGATCCCGAGTGGAGACTTCACCCGCCCGGCGCATCCCCCCCCCCCACCACGCCATCACTAGCCAGCACAGCGGGGGGGCGGGGGAGCCTATGGTCCCTGCCCTCCTGCTCCTGCTTCATCCTGTCTGGTCTGGCATGTGCTGGGGGGTCCTGACTTGGGGGCATCCCTGGGAGAACCCAGGGTGCTGGGAGCAAGTGTCTTTGCCTGAAATCTCAGACACATGTGAGGGTTGTTACAAGAGGGCGGAGAACTCGGGACTTATTCTTGACAGTGCTTGGGGGACCATCCGGGCTGCCAGGGATGGAACCCAGGTCGGCCGCGTGCAAGGCAAATCCCCTCCCTGCTGTACTATCGCTCCGGCCCCTCTGTCACGCGTTTGAGAGCTGCCTCTGCCCTGGGTCGCTGCCACCCAGATACCAGAATTGCCACCCTCGTCAGGTTCCCGGGGACAAGCCAGAGTGTTAGAAGCTGGAGTGACACCTTGCAGGTGAAGCCTTGGGCTGGTGATAGGAAGCGGACCCTGAGGTCTTCCCGCCCCGTTCACCATGGTCACTCGCCCCGCTGGCCTCCCGTCTCCAAGGACACAGTGATGCTGTGTGGGAAGTGCCCACCCGGCAGAGGTCTGGGTGAAAATGCTGAGCCAGCCCGTGTGGGAATGCCAACTCAACCCCCCTTCCCTCTTCTGGAAGATTCCATGTCCACACTCCACAGGAGGGCTGGTGAGGGGTGCTCCAGGCCTCCTGAGATGCCCACCTGGCCATTGTGTCTGGCCTTTCCTCTTGGGATGTGTCATCTGGCCATCGCCCAAACCCTTCCCCACGCGACCACCCCCTCCTCCCAGCCACCTCTTGGCCACCCATGGGCCCCACTGGCTCGCTTTGATGCTGCCAGCCAACCTCTTGACTCTGGGGCAAACAAGGGTCAGTTTCGGTCCCAGTCCCTCCCCCCCATGGCCTCTGTGGAGCAGGTCCGGTGACCCCTCTCTGTTCTCATTGTCCGCCCTGCTGTCAGGTGGGCAGCCTCCTGACAGAAACTGCCCTTCCCAAGACGTCCCAGTGGCCACAAGGACAGGTGGCTGTGCTGGTTTTGTTTTCATTTGGGTTGAGGTTTGGGGGCTTGGGGTTGGGCTTTTTTTTTTTTTTTTTTTTTTGCTTTTTGGGTGCTCTGGGTTACTCCTGGCTCTGCACTCAAGAATTACTCCTGGAGGTGCTCGGGGGACCCTATGGGGTGCTAGAAATTGAGCCCAGGTCGGCCGCATGCAAGGCAAATGCCCTCCCTGCTGTGCTATTGCTCCAGCCACCCTGGCCTTTTTTTTTTAATCTTGTTTTTCAATCTCCATTGATTGCACTGCTCGCAACTTTGATTGGGTGTCATGAAGCCAGAGCCGGAACATGGGCGCGAGCAAGACCCCTTCAGCCAAAGGAGCATCCACCCCACTATGGCAGGCAGCTGCCAGAGCTCACGGGCCCGGGGGCAGGACTGGGCCCCCTAACCTTCCACAGGCCGGCTAGACCCAGCCAAGGCAGGGCATCGAGGCTGCGGCCCGCCCCTGGGTCTGAGGCTGGCCTGACTCTCCTTTCTAGGGCCCACAGGGGGCTTGGGCATCTGTGCGGGCAGCCACTCTGCCCTGGGCAGAACCAAGACAGCAGTCGGAGCACTGCCGTCTGCAGACAGAAATTCATAACGGCCCTTTAGGTTACCAATGTCCATTTAAAATGTACCAAAGTGGGGCTGGAGTGATAGCTTGCACGTGGCCCAACCCGGGTTCGATTCCCAGCATCCCATATGGTCCCCTGAGCAACGCCAGGAGTAATTCCTGAGTGCATGAACCAGGAGTAACCCCTGTGCATCACCAGGTGTGACCCAAAAAGCAAAAAAAAAAAAGTACCAAAGTATTTTCAGCATTCACACATGCACACGCACACACATTCGTGCAGGCACACATGTAGTGGCCATATGCACACATGTAGTGGCCATATGCACGCACACACACACACATACACACACACACACACATACACTCACAATTCCTGTCATAAGTAACCCTAATAGGCACTTGGCCCAGGGGTCCTGGTGGGTCATTGTGCCCACTGGCTGGCCTCCCCTGCCTCCCTGCCTGCCCTTGGTGTGGTCTCAGGGCCTGGGCTTGGTCAGTTCCTCAGGAACCCCTCTCTGCAATGGAATCCAGTTTGGGGTGTGTCTGCATCATGCATCGTTCATGGGTACCACGTCCCCCCCACCCTGAGGTCAGCCCTCACGTTGGCAATGGTGGGCCGGAAGCCCTGGGCGGGGGTGCATAGGCAGCTCCTCTGAGGGGTCTCCTGAGCCCGGGACCACCATCTCTTCATGCACGTGTGAACACAGAGTTCCTACTATGGACACTGCTTGCTTGTCAAATTGCTTACTTCCAAATTCCCCTCCCAGGGCCCCCCAAGCCCAGCTCTCTCCCTCCTGTCCTGTCCCACAAGCACACCCCCACCGAGGCCCTCACGTAAGCCACACAAGCGAATCTAGGGTGCCGAGTCAGTGAGAGCTACAGCCCCCTGAGATGGACTGTCTTCCCTCCGAGTCTGAGCATCTCTGGGCGCTGCCCTGGTTGTTCATGGAGCCTTTGGAAACGATTCCCCGGACCTCACTGACGCCTCCTGCAGCACCCGTGAGCCCCCGGCCATGCATGGCAGGGGCGGGGAGGGGGGAAGAAGAGCAAGCGAACACCAATTCATTTCCCTTCCCCTCCCCTCCCCTTCTCTAAGAGCCACGTCTTCCCGCAGGACCCTAGTGACGACAACTTTTAAAGTGGAATTATTAGCTCACAGCTCACAGGCCTTACATCTCTTCTGGATTTCAGTCGGCCACGTCCGTCATTCTTTTCAATGATGCTCTAGCTTGGATCCGTGGGAGGCTGCCCCTGGGACCAGTTTTCCATCGTTTTGCTTTTCTGGTTTGTCTCGAAGGCCTCGTTGACCAGGTCTGAAGTCAAAATACTGCCCTGAAAAGCCAC